AGCTGCCTCTCTGTTCCCATGAGCAGATGGCCTGTACCTGTCTTCTCCTTTGTTATGTGAAAACCATGTGCACTTCATAAGAGTCCATCTATTGCTATATAAAATTATTTATGCTTGGCTGAGTGTGTGTAAGAGAGGCAGCTGCACTGATATCCTTCTCAGACTTGCAGAATCATGGGCAAGAATAAAACTGCAGAGAACCTCACTTTAGGAGATGGTAGACATGCTGTTTCTATCATCTGTTCCCTCCCACAAGTTGTGGGAAGGCTGCAATCCCTTTTCAGGGCAGCTCAGTTGAGGTGATACTGGTGGTGACGACAGCTTGAGGTGAAAGACACAGAATTGCAGCTCAGGATGAATGACCACAATTGCCAGTGACTCACTGAAGACTTCAAGGATGCTGTCTGTATGTCCAAATGCTATGAAATGCTGGTTGGGTGAGACCAGAGTTCATCGACCTTGTGGGCTGCTTCCAGGAGTGGGCAGCAAATGGCTAGTGAGGAGAATTAGAAAAGGCTGAGCGTGCAGTGAGACTTCCTGAATAACTGCCTCAGCCTCAATAACTTGAGGCTCAGGGACTTCCTGAGACAGGTATGCCATCTTAGTATTGAACAGACCTCCATGGGTGCTTTTTTGACTGTATTTTTGTATGAAGATACATACTCCTTTTTAAATTCTAAACACAGGAATGAATTATATCCCGCCTGGAGATGCTTTTAATTTTCTCTGAACTTTTCCTGTTGTGCAGTGGTTCACAGGCATCACAGCCATATGGTTAGCCAAGGCTGCTCTCGCTTCATGTTGGTCTAATTATCTGTTCATTAGAATCTTAAGTCTTGAGCTGGAAGTGTGTAGGGTGTCTTTTGTTTAAAGGGCAGTCTCCTAATGCAAATATTAAAAGAGAGCTTTCTGGCTTGCCTGAGTCAGACTGACAAGCTAATAATAGCCTTCATGTTAGTCTTGGCTAACAGAGAGCATCAGTGTAAAAAGGTTTTAAAGGACTGGTGTATCAATCAAGTCATAGAACACAATATACATTTGTGTGTTTTGCTTGTTTTAACACTTAAACCCCCGTTAAGAAATCTTTTCTGAATGCAAAGGGCACGGGAGTGAAAATGGAGCTCTCCTCCTCTAACCTCAAACCTCAAGTGGATGTAATGGTATATTTAGTCTTAGATAGCCTCTAATTAATAGAATGCCATAATACAAAACTGTATTTTCAAGACATGTAGTCTTGTTCAAGAAACTGTTCTTAAGTTTATAGGTAATGTATCAAAGAGCAGTGAGTCAGGTGGCTTAAAAACTAGTGTGTTGACTATGTGTGTGGGGAGTTGTAAAGATGGCTAATTGTTGGAGAGAGCATGTTTCATTTCCCAGCTCTGCCAGCAGAGGATTACATGTTATACAATTGCTGCAATTTAATTATAGTGTAGCAGAGGTTTTGATATCTGCCTTTAAATTATCCCAAGGGCATCTAGGAGGAATGGCTTACTTGGAATAAATCTTAATAAACATGTGACTTTATGCTGCTGGCTTGTTTTGTTCTGTGAGTGCCATTTGTTCCTATTAACTATATCATAGAAGTCAATACAGCTATTCCTGGAAACATGGCAATATCACATGAGTAAGAGTTTATAGGATGGGCTCAGTATATCATTACAACAATTGTCAGCTTCTCTCTTTTATTTATGGAAAACCGATGCATATGAATGTACCTTTATCTGGAAAGTTTTAGGCAATTCTAATAAAAGGAGATATGCATGAATTATCAGTACATGATGTTCTATTCACTAGAGGGAGAATAATTTTAAAAAGCCTGCTAAGTGAGGCATGGTTGCTAAGTAAGGCGAGGGTTTTATTAGACCAACTGACGTAATGGAAAAAAGCAGGCAAGATTTTGGGCATACAAAGACCTCCTTTGGATGTGAAACAAACGGCAGACTTTGCGCTAAGAATGGCTTGGGAACAATTGCTCTGAACTTAAGCTAAATATGTTAAATGGTGAGGTAATTTGAGAGGAAGGGGTAGCTGGAACATGTGGGAAGGATTGCTAAGTAATGGAGACTACATGGGAATGTGGAAGAAGGGTGGTTTCTGGAGGAATTTAAGGCAATCTGAAACTACACTGCTACTGTCTTCTGTCTTGCTTCATGGTGTTGGCAGCTGCAGCTAGGGCAAACTCAAGCAATGCGAAATAAGGAGCAATATAGAAAATGGATTCTGCAGTGGAGGAGAGAGAACCTGTAGCAGTGTGGGAGGGATGTCCGCGGAACATGTGGTTTAGGACAGTGGAGATGAGCAGTTCCTCCAAAGCCTGGGAGAAATAGGCATTCTAGTTCAGGAAACTAATTTCTGTCAAGATAAGCTTTTCTAGTACAAATGTACTCTTTACTCCATGGTGAGATAAGACAACCAGAGTATACAGTTCTGGTAACTTCCTTTACGTAGGCTATCTGGAATTCCCGAGGGGGCGGTTGGTTTGTTTTTAAATCTGATCTTTTTCTCTACTGGAGTGTCCTTGTTGGGTGAAGGTCCTCTTTACCGTGAGGTGGATGTCCCCAGCATTCCCCTCAGCTGGAGAGCTGCGGTACCTTTGGGAGACCTGGCTGGATTTCCTGTTCTGGGTGTGCTTTGCATGACTGCTGGCCTCTGTGCAGTACTGAGAGTCATTTGCACAGTACTGGGAATATTGTGGAGTGGATTTGATCTAGGCAGGCAGGGTTTCTTCCAAGTATTTAGCTTAGCAGCAAAAATGATCACGCTTATAGTATTTTCCTGTTCTGCGCAGGCTTAATTTAATGATGTTTGTAAACTATCTGAAGACCTGCAGATGAAAGATGTACTTTTTTATTAGAAAGGCTACCTTGCGTGTTGTTCAGACATAATAGGGAGCTGTAAAGTACTTTGGGCCTCTGAGATAAAAAGCACCATAAATCTTGAATGAGATATTAACAATATCCAGTGTAACTAATGATAACTTTAACTGTCAGGCAGCTGTTGGGCTAGAACAGTTATCTATCTTGTTAATGCAACCTGCCCCCTGTTTTCTAGCACAGGCTTGCATTCATACCTCTGTCGATTGACAGAGAAAATGAGTGTGTGAGTATGTCGTCCTTTTTGTTACTGTCTAGCATGAAGAGGGGTCTCACACTGAAATTTGGGGAAGGGCTTGCCTGCTAGCCAGTATGACACAACTGCTGAATATTGTTTACCATTTACCAGAGTGGGTATATAAGGTCCCCGTTTCCCCCATCTGTTTTAGTCATTGAGGCTTAAATTTGAAAAGCGTTGCCAGCTAGAGCAGGCTTGGGGAATTGACAATATAATAATTATCTTAACAACCTGTAAGCTACTAAAAAAAAAGAAAAATCACTGAATTAATTTCATTTTTGTTACAGTAAGCTCCTGCCTTAAAAAACAACAAAACCTTCCATGTTCTGTGGCTTTAGTTAGACCCTGCATGTTTTATGCAGTTATTTTCTGGCATGCAGCATTTCCTAATTTATACCAGGGCAAAGAAATCAGAGTAAGTCTGGCAGAATCTCTGCAAAACCATCAACATGTAACCTTTATTTTGACCCTCAATACCTCCTGAAATCCTGCTATTTTTGTAACTAGGGCTAGGTAGCAGGATGAAGATTACGTATCATCCTACAAAGCAATGCTTTTATTTTGTTCTTATTTTAGGAATAATCAGCAGAGAACAATGATACTTCCTCTTGCAAATTTCATGTGGTTCCCTGAGGGGACTGATAGCAAAGGGGGGCTCTTACAGAATATATATTTTCCACAGCAATAGTTCAGATAAATCTTATCTGCCCGTGAATCGACAATACAGCTTCCATTGACTTGTGTGGAGCCTGAATTTCATTGTATATTTTGTTCAGTTTATGTACTGTTTTCTAAGGCAGGTGCTGTGTTTTCATTCTGTATGTATAGAGGCTGGCTATTCAGTAGCTTTGAGCTGTGGAGGTCAGTGCCTATAGTTGTCAAGTCTTCGATTCCCACCCTGGCATGTCAGCTGAAATAGAGGCTGTTGCATGTACAAGACCTAGCGGGGAGCCTTCCAGCAGTCTGGGTGTAGGAAGAGCCTCTCAGGCTCCCTCACCTCCGTCATCTGCTCCTCAGCTTGTGAGGCGCCATCCTTAAGTCAGGCAGTGCCTCATCTGAAAGGGCTACTGTAGGCTGGTGTTACTGAGACAGCAAAGAGTGTCTGCCGAGTTGTCAGTCAAATGCTGCTCCAACACTTTAGCTCTTATTTTCTGGGAACAAAGTACAATCACGTTTTGCTAGCTGGGCCATTCATGTAAAAATTGCCATCAGGAATGTGTTCGTGCTTATGACTTGTGCAACCAATATGTCGTGGTTTATTCCCAGCCAGCAGCTGAGCACGACACAGCCGCTTGCTCACTCCCCCCTGGTGGGATGGGGGAGAGAATCAGGAGAGTAAAAGTAAAAGGAAAAAAAAAAAAATCCCAAACCAACTTCTGTGTTGAGATAAGAACAGTTGAATTTAATTGAAATAAAATAAAATAGTAATAATAATAATAATGATAAAAGAATATACAAAGCAAGTGATGCATGATGCAGTTGCTCACCGCCTGCCAACTGATGCCCAGCCTATCTGTGAGCAGCGGCCCCCTGGCCAGCTTTCCCCCTGTTTATATACTGAGCATGACATCACATGGTATGGAATATCCCTTTGGCCAGTTGGGGTCAGCTCTCCTGGCTGTGCCCCCTCCCAGCTTCTTGTGCACCTCCTCACTGGCAGAGTACGGGAAGCTGAAAAGTCCTTGACTTAGTATAAACACTGCTTAGCAACAACTAAAACATCAGCATGTTATCACATTATTCTCATGCTAAATCCAAACCACAGCACTGTACCAGCTACTAGGAAGAAAATTAACTCTATCCCAGCTGAAACCAGGACACAATACATTAATGAAATCTTGGCTCCATTAACGTCTGTGGACCATTTGCCATTCTGAAATCATTGGATCATGATTTGTCAGGTGTTTATGGATACTGTATTTTTGCAAGAGAGCAGTTTGATCAGTTCAAGGTAAAAAAGTCATAGAACTACACTATTTTAAAATAATAATGTAAAATCTGTTTCAAACTGTTATTAACTGTTATACATAGTATAATTTTATGTATATTTCTCTAGACTTCTAGATTTTGTGCTAGAAATAATAAAGCTTATCTTTTTCTTTCCCTCAAGGCCAAATGTCTGTCCAGTGTTTGAGTTGGCACTGGTAGGACACCAACAGCCATGTGTTCAAGCCTTTAGTCGTACGGTCAAGATGTGGAAACAAGGTTGCACAGGGAGGAGGTGGTGTATGGGCTATGAGAGAAGGTAATACATTATCTATTGTTATAAATGAATTCTGTTACTGAACTTAGTGCAAATTCTTTATAACTTTTTTTTTGAGAGAGAGACATTGTAAACTATTTCATCTGAAATACATGTGACTTAGTTATGGATATCTTGTGTCCAGCTGAGATTTTACTTTAAGTCTGTTATTACTGAGCGCAAAATGTGACTTTATTCTGTGTTTTGGGTGTGTCATGAACTTCTTGGCTGGCTTTAGATTACAATTTTATAGTATCAGAAAGTGCTCCTGTCTCATCCTGTTTCAGGTGAAGTCCAGCTGTCAAGTCATCTACTTTGAAGAATTGAACTACTTTCTATTTCTGCCATATGCTTAGAACTGATGGGAGACCTGACTCCCCCAACAGCTAAAATCAAAATTGATTGCAAAACAAAATTACTCACCTTTGACTAGCCTGAATACAAATTAATCAGAAAGTATGTGGACATAGTATATTAGAGCTATTGGATGTTATCAGAATGCATTTTGCTATATTTGCTTCATTTTCAACAAGAACGACTGATAGGGGCTGAAAAATGTATAGTAAATATGACGTATGAGTACAGTTTGTTACTGATGAGATGTGAATAAGTGTAATAGAAGTTGTGACTGTTCTTTTAAACTTATTCTCTTCAAAGGTCTGGGTACTACACAGTTTACAAGCAGGTGTACAGAATGGAGCGTCAGACTGTCTATAAGTGCTGCCCTGGATGGGTCCAACATGACAATGAACCTGGCTGTTTGCACTGTAAGTTGATGGCAAAACTGACAAACTGAGAGATGATATCCTTAGGCCTTACTTTCCTACTGTTGCTTACTTCTAGAAAGATGTATTTTTGTTTCTTGCTATTTATAACTGGGATTTCCTGTTATAAAGAGGTAATCTATCGATGGGGAAAGAAACTTCTTTTAAAAGTACAAAAGCTGTCATATGTAAAAGTACCAAGTATCTCTAATTTTAATCTAAACAGTGGAAACTGTATTTCTGATTATAGTTGTTGCAGCATTTTTGTGCCAGCCTGGCTTTGACAGGCCAACGAAATTTATTGCTGTTACAGCAGATTTCTTTGCATAATTTGGGTAAGGCACTTGTTTCTTGGACATAGCACTCATTGTGGAATCTGACTGGTTTTGGCTTTTTCACTGCTGCTGTTGCCATTAAAGCAATTGTGTTTCTACCCTACAGTTCTCCACCTGACGAGAACCTGTTCCTATCAGTAATTTCTAACCATGATTGGATGTTTTCCCAAAAGATGGAATTTAATTTAAATGATAAGGAACCACTTTAGCTGCTGTTAAAAAGACATGAGTAGAAGATAGCAATTTACTCACTGTTTAGTTTTGTTACTGTTTTGTCAGTAATTGTATTTTCTGTATGAAAGTTAGCATCTGCTCCTATGTATTTTTTAATCTTCATACCAACTTGAGGGCTGCATTCAGAGAGCTTGCCTTTATGATTGTCTCTTTGTATTTAAAAAACAAAAACAAGCCTGAGAGGTATTACTGTTAGTTTCAGCTTGAATCTACATATTTAGTGTGCACCTGTTTTGTTGTATGAAGTCAAAGATATGTTTACAATCTGTATTTTAATCTCTGGTGTAAAGGTATTTAACGTATTTGAGCACCAGTGGCAATATAAAATCTTCTTCCTGAAAGAGCAGTGCAGGCTTGTTTTGTATTCTTTAAGGCATGAAAGTGGTTGAGTTATTCTTTTACATCTGATATTCTTTGCAAGTTTGGCTCAAGTATGTGGAATTTAACTTACTGTAAATAACTAATGTTCTGCATTGGAGGAAGTGAATTGTAATTCTCTTGGACATATATAACATCTTCTAATACACCAGTGTTTCTTAACAACTGCTGAATTATTCTCTAGCAGTTCATCTCTTCTTTCATTCTAGATTCAGGTAGTGCTTTGAGTCCTGAGAAACTGTTTTCTGCCTCTGAAGCATCTTCAGGTTAAACTGCGTTACTTTAGTCTTATTTTTATTCAAGTTAAATTTCTTCATATCAACATGGTAGTTATACCCATGATAACAAGTTCTATTGCAGTCTAACCTTTCCACTTAAATAAAAAGCTGGATTACTGATTTGGAAGTTCCTGTTACAGGAAGAGGCAATTCTGGAGGATCCTTGGCACAAAACCCACACCCCCCCCCCCTCCCCCCGCCCCACACCCTCCTCACGCATCACATTCTGTTTGTGTGTACTAGTGCTGTGCACTGTTGGCACTTGCTTCAATGGAGGGAAATGTGCTGAAGCAGGATCCCAGACATGCCACTGTCCTGCAGGATTTCAGGGTCCTCGCTGCCAGTATGGTGAGTCAAATGTGAATTGTCTCAAATGCATCTGGTGTTTGGGTAAAATGCATGTTTAACAATATTTGTTAAAACATGAATATTTTATTAACATTGACTTAATAAAGGCAACTTAAAGTTGCCTCTGCTGCACTCCAACTGGTTATTTGGTCATTCTCTTATTTTTCCAGAATTTGCCTTTTTGGTATTGAATTTTAACAAAGCAAGATGAAAAATTAATTTGGTTGATATCAGATGAGTTTCTGTAATGGATAATACCATTGAATATCAGCAGTGGTGTCCAGTGGAATATCTTCCTATTGCTTCTGAACTTGCACGTTCTTGTGGCACTCTTGCTAAATTTCTCGGCATTGCTTTTACCCTTGTGAGAGTAAATTCTGAGTCAAAACAGGTTGGGCAATAGGTAAAGAATGTAGCAAATGAACCAAATGTATTTATTGATGGGATTTCTTTTGGTGCATCTGAAAGTAGGAAGGCTGGTTTTACAGACTGCTACCAAATATTTCCTAGTATTCTTGAAATAATTTATGCAGCAATCTTTCAATAACTGTGTTCTAGCATATTATAGACTAAATTCTATGCGGCTTAGACTATCACCCACTCTCAATGGGAATCTCTTTCTCTCATACGCTGGTTCACAATCTGATAAACTCACAATGGGTTGTCTTGTAATTTATGTGAAATAAGACAATCACATACTGTGTAAAGCTCTCCAAAATTATAGAACTGCATCCATTTGGCTTCTTAAGGCGGGGGGAAAGTCATTCCTTCAAGAGTAGGCTGTGATTGGGGCAATGGATTTCTTTTGTATTAGACAAATGATAATTTCCTTTTCAACTGAAGCACATTGTGTTTTGTTCAGAGAGGCAGATTTTTGAATATTTAGGTTTTTCGCTTTTAAATTCTAATATGTTCACATCCTCACCTGACTTGTCTATCATGAAGTATAAGTGAGAAGGAACGTAATAACTGTTTACGACAATCCCTTTAAGAGCTGAAAAGCTAAGCTCTGTACTCGATGCATGGCTTGTATCATGCTTGCTTCATAACCTCTGTCATATTCTATTATCTGGGCTCTACCAAGGCTTATGTGATGGACTGGGTCTTGTGTGGGCTCACGGCACCAAAGCAACTGTGTCTGTATGGGTAGTAGTCTCCCTCAGTGAAGGTAATAAAGCAGCTGGATTTGCAGCAGGCATGGTAAGTGGGAAATGCAAAAAGTCAGCAAATGTTGCAACAGGGTTGTTCTCGTTGAAGCCTGGTCATAGATAACATTTTTCATTTATAAGCAAGCATTTAAATAAAATGCAGAGCTCTTTACAATGAAACTTCTGCTGACATTAGACTGCCAACATCTGCCTTCAGACAATATTAGTTCAGTTAAGCAGACTTCAAGGGTGATGCTGTAATTGTGTATTTCTTTACTGCCCATAGAAACAACAAGTTTATATATCTAACTTTGTATGAACCAGAGTGACACCAATGCAGGTTGCTTTGTTATTGACTTACACTAAAGCTGCTATTTCAAGGTAAGCGGGATCAATATCTCTAAGGAGCCCATATAATAAGCTTTTACCAAATGCAGTGTAAGTCTCAGCAGATGCTAAACTGTCTTTGCTAGTCTTTTGAGTCTCCTTCCGTTGCCTGGAAATACTTACGGCACCAAGGCATTTCCAACAGGCAGATTATGTGGGTGCAGCATGTGGATAGCACAGGTCAGATTTTCAGACTGAAATCAGATTGTGCAGTCTCTATTTCACAGGTTGGTGACTTCAGACACTGTAAAAACAATGTGAGGTATCCTGCAGTTCTTGCTCTTTGCAGTTGGGTGGAACTTTATCTTGGTGGTTTGTCTGCTTTCTATTGATTCCTAAGGTTTGAATGGAATTTCAGTAGTCATCATTTTCAGGTTTATACAGTAGCTGCTATCGCAGCCTGGCAGGACTGTGTTTATAAATTAAATTCTGAAGGGAAAAAAAACTCCTTTCAGAAAGAATGTTATGGACAATTCACCTGCCTAACAAAAGCAAGGTAATTTAGAGTGTAAGGTCTCTTAACCATTGCAGGCGTCTCCAGTCAGATGCTTGCGAGTTTTGTATTGTATGTGTTGCAAGCAAAACTGTGGTGCTAGCAGCTGTAGCCTCTGTTTTTCTGGCTGATGTTGGAATATTGCTCTTTTAAAGTAGCTTGAATTTAATGTGACTGCATTACTTAATGGTAATATATTGCGGTTTTAAATGATCATTAAGTCTAGCCTGTCCCCTCCTCCCTACTTGCCTGTGCAACTTTACTGTGAAATAAACTGTTTTCCTTCCAACACTTAACCCAAAGGAAAAGTAATCTCTCCTACCAGCATCTTTTGCTTTGAGGATTTGGTGGAACAGATGAGTGCCAGGAAAACCACGGTTTGTTTTTGGAACACATGCTATAAAATGTTAGTGGAAAAGATTATACCATGATATGTGAAGCTGTCAAAGGGGACTGTCTTTGGTACAGAGGTACACTTCCTTGTACCTCTAGACTGCATCCCTCAATTGTCACTTTGGCAGGAGTGTTTAGGTAGCCCTCTCAGGGGCTTTACAGGGGAAGGGAGGCTCTGACTGGATGTGAGACTACAGGCTACTGGCAGAAAGCTGCCCCTTGGTCATCCTTGGTTGTAGTCTTGGTTTCTGTCACTTTTTGGTGTTGTGGCTTCCTTTCAATCTCCGGACAGAGGAAGAACCATGTGCATTTCATAACTGTACTTGCACTCATTTGAGCAAAATTGTTGCACGTATCCTGTTTTATATCCTCCCCTCTCCGACCTCTTTGCTTATCTTCTTTCTGTTTCTGTCATTCAGTGTTGACAGCTAATTCTAAAGTTTCAGTGGCTCTCATGATCTCCCTGCTAGGCACTACGATCCACAGACAATAGACAAGAAATAATTATAAAAATATTATTAAAATCAGTTACTATAAAAAATAAATGGGAACATATACCTCGAATCTTCTAATCTGGCTCTTCCTGTTTGTTGTGTTTATATTTGCCATTAAGTTAGTAAGTAGGTCAGCCTCCTGGAAATCAAGTTCCTACATGCTTTGCACTGGTCTGTCCTGCAGAAGGTTTGTGACAGATTGTCAAGAATGACTTATGACAGCCCAGTGCATCACAGCAATCTGTAGCAGAGATGATTATTCACAATTGGCATGATCGCATCTAATGACTTTTTAAAGATATCATGTGGTGTTTTAGCAGCCTGTAACACAACATTATTTCCGATTAGATGCTGAAATGGTTACAATTCCTGTAACAAACTTCATGTAATTGTGACTAGAAATGCATTACTGCATCTCTTGTATACTTCACTCCATATTGTTATTATTTTACCCACACAAGCAGCAATACAAACTTAAAAGAAAGATTTATGAGTGAAATGGTCAAGCTCTTCATATAGCCATTGCAAGGATTCAGTAACAGATTGAGCTGTCTCTTTCATTGTCTGCTGCAATTTGTCTTGTAATAATAGACTTATATCAATTACAATGTAAACTTGCAAGCTGTATTTCTTTCTTTTTTTTTAACTTGTTTGGAAGTTGAGATTCCCATTTCTGTTGAGCCCAGTGACAGGGAAGGAAGACTTCTAACAAAAACGAGAAACGGTAAAACCCAGCACCAAGAATAAAATCTGCTGCAGTGCTGGTTTCATTGTTATTCACTAGTTGTCCTGGTAATCTTGTTCAAGGCCTGCTAGACACCTGAGCTGGACATAGAAGTAAATTAATTTCATTTAGCGTGTTTAATTCAGTCCTGGGACTTGTACTTGGACATGCAGCTAGTGAAAGCATTCCAAATTCTACAAACGAGGGTAACTTCATTTACTCCTCGTGTACATAAAATTGCTCAGTGCAAAATGAGGGGTTAGTTTTGACTCTCAAACATTTTTGTCATCAAACATCAAGTTATTGTTGGTTTTACCAAGTGCCTCCTGCTGTTTTTAATACTTAAAGTAAAAGCAAGAGTGAGAACTGAACAGGCTTTATAATTTCATGATGGAAACAAAATCCCAGCATTACAAAGGTCTTGCAAGAGGCTACCATAATTAGGAAAGAGTAACTACAATTGGGCATCTCTGAGAAGATGGGTATTCTCCAAAGATGTTTAAAAGTAGGCGAGGAATGACCAGGGCTGACTTGTCAGGAAAGTCATCTTATGATGACATGATGTTTGTCATCTTAGCTTAATCATTTGAAGAAAGCCGAACACAATATTCCAGTGTTTAACAGATTAAGTGTCAATATATTAAATTTTACACTGTAATGCTTGCTGTAATGCAGGTGGCATTTTAATTTTTTACACGGACTGATGTAGATTACTAAAGATTGTGTGCTTGGGAAGCATTGACTGCATCTTGAGAGCGTGGTGTGCCGAATACAGTACTCGCCTGATACTTGAGATGAGAGCTTTGTTTTTCACCTGCCACTGCCCTTGGATATGAGGTCAATAACTTTTAGCAAATTATACCACTGTGCCTCAATTTCTTTGTATATGAAATGTTGATAATGATAGCTCATTCCTTTGTAAAGTGCTTTGAGACCTAAGTAATTAAGTGTAAGATAATAGCACTGGAATGAGTGTATGTAAAGGCAAAATGCACACTACATGGGTAGCTAAAATGAAATGCTTATGAGATAGATATTCATCAGTTCATTGACTAGCTGTCAATCTCTTCCTTAACTCTGGTCACATACTATTAAAATAATGAACTATATAAAGATTCTAGTAAACGAAAATGTCAGCACCTCCTGGTCCAGGTAGATCAGAGTTTACACTACAGAACTACTTAAACAAAAGGTGGCTTTTTTTTTTTAAAACCATTGATTGAAATGGCATGAAGTCTGATGGATCTTCTTGCAACCAAAAATACTCTCTCATTCACTGAAAAAATTTCCTTCCATTTTCCTCTAGGAAATATTTCTTCCTGCAAAGAGTTATTTGATAGAACTTCTGATTAATGTCCTGT